TCTGGTTTGGAATCCATCTGCAAAAAATTGATAAGTCTTTCTGTTTCATATTCTTTAATCCTGTCAGTTTTAATAGAGGTGGAAAATATTTTTGCTTTCCTAAATACAAGGTCTATTGTGAAAATTTTTTTGCTTGTATGAATACATAACTTCTGGCATATATACACCTTAATTATTTTGCAGAAAGTTGGCTGAACTTTCACATACTTCTACATGCTTTATATCTTACTGGGAAAAAGTTAAGGAGATATGAGACGTAATTAGTATTATTGTCTGGTATCAAGAGTTCTATAAAAGTGTATGCAAATGGAATTTTCAAACCTTTTCATATAGAGATCTACCTTACAAGACATATACTTGGTTTTACACCTGGTAATCTTGAAATTGTGAATCCCTCAATCTTTCATAACATTTGCTTTTGTCAGCATTATTTACTTTTAAAGCTGGTCCTGTATTGCATGTAAACTTTCTTTCAAATTGTTTTTATGTTTGTTTGGGAAAAAAATAGGATACTGGTTAGCTAATATTTTCTTTTGATATATGTGAAAATTAATATGTCACACAAATCCTACCTGGTAATCAGCTATTACATCATTACGCAAAAATCTATGTTAAGTTTTTCGAGCTGATGATTATCGTCTGGAGGTTAATAATCAGTATTCTGAGCTCAGCCTTTAAGACGCTTTGCTAAATTTTCCACATTAAATATATTACTTTATTATAGCAATCATGACGAACATTAATATCGAAACACTTACTCAGTTTTATGAAATACTTTTATATAAGAAGAAGGATATAGTAGCTATTCAGGAAAAACTCAGTATGTTACCTCTGATAACCATTGGTGGCAATGCAAATGAATTAGCAGTTCCTCCAGATTCTGAGCTCATAGGAAAAACACTTGCTGATTTGTATAAATTGTTGTTAGAATTAGTAGAGAATTTAATACTGATACAGGAGAATCTTAGCATCAATAGTAATCCTATTCTAGAAGAGGCATTCTGAAGCAATAAAACTTCTATGAATATTTCATTTGATGAAATATTTAATTTACTTATGTATTTGGAAGATGATATAATAGCAATTCAAAGAAGAGCTTGGTATTGTTGGTTATTCTAACCAAGAAAAGGTAGAAGAAACTGATAAAACCGCAAGAGAATATCTTTAAAAGTTTGAAGATTTCCATGATCCCTTAGAAGATGGTCTATATGTGATACTAGAAAAATTCATTGACAGAGAAGTAAAGAAAATTTGGTTTACTAGAGAAGGACTACCATTATTTTCATAGGTCACTTCTTATCAATTGTACGAAATATTCATCAAAAATCCATCTAGCATTAAACAGTACCTATATCTAGAACAAGTTAGCTAATCTATATTTTTTGTCATACAGGGCACATCTAGATGCAAAAAAATCTTCTGAGCTAATGTCATTGTTCTAGATTATTGATCTGAATCAGAATATCACTGCAAATTATTTCGCATATTTAGATCTAAAAAATTCTAAAGGCTCTGAGCTAAAGTCTGTTTACTAGCAACATTGTTTTGTATAAGATGATTTATAACCACTCCAATAAGCAATAAAGTGTTCATGAAATTCTCAACATGAACATTTGGATTAAGTGAAATGAGCTAATCTATAGCTTCTTTGCTAATTTTATAATATTCTCTCAGATTTAGATATTTTAAATTGAAATATGATCTAGCAATTTCTTCAATAGTTTTATCAGTAATTCTACAATAGCTAAGGTTGAGTTGTTAGAGGCTTTGGGCAAGAGTAAACAACATTGCAAATTTATATTTCAGAAAACTCTGTGCGATTAGAAATATTTAGACATTCTAATTTATGACATGAATCTGTGACTGCAGTTAGATCTTTATCATTTTTGATCGAAACATATTATCTAAAGCAAATATATTAAGATATTTCTAAATTTGGATATGATTCTACTATTAGCTTTAGAACTTTCCCAACAGACTCATACTTCATACTTCCTTCAAAATCTAAATGAATTATATTTGGGAACATGTGTACAATGCTTGAAAGCCGGTAGTCTGATATTTTAAAATGAGTTAATTTCAGGTTATAAATTAGATTTCGCTAGTGATATCTGACTAAACTCTTTTTGAAAAATTGTAATTTTGTCAAAAGTTTCATTCCTTTAATATTTTTATATGAATAAATATAAAATTATTATATTTTTTAATATATTTTAATTTAAGAAATTTAGATTAAGTTAAATATAATTTTGGTAATTAAGTAAAATAATTTTGTTATTAATAAAAAACTAGTTTCGTCATTTCAGTTTCGTCAATTTTATCAAATTAAAAAAGGTAATTTCGTCAGGTATCACTAGTTTTCATCCTTCTCCATGTACTTTTTTTAAAAATCTTTCTAATTGAGTTCCATCATCCCTAACACTATTTAACTCAATGCATTTCTATAGAATAGGAGCATTGCATCTGTATCACAATCAGAAAATAAATAGAGCAGGATAGAGGGATTTATCTATTATTAAGAAATATAAAATTTGTTCTAATAGTTCTGATATATTAAAAATACTTGTATGCGTCATAAATAATAAATCTGTATTTATAATTAAAAAAAAGTTTCTAGGCTAATGACTTTCATATATATAAAAGTAATTCTTCACGCTGATCACTGCTCCAGATTACAATGGATCAGAAAACCACTGCAAAGTAGAATTAAACTAGCAAAATTTAATAGTTATACATATTGATAATTTCAGATATTTCGTCTTTTTCCATAGTCTCTGATTCTGGCTCTGAGTTGTAGTCAAATTCAGGATCAGAGTCTTCTGATTCTGTATCGCCTATAGCATAATTATCGCCTGTATCAAGACAGTCAGATTTTTATCTCATTGTGATTCTCAAAAGCAGTTTAAGATGCTGAGGAGTTAGGTTCTTACACCATGAATTCTGGAAGTATGTTTACTCCCATAATCTCTTAAATTTTTAGGTATGGTTCTATAAGATTCTTGCTTCAAGAATTCATTAAATGGTCAAGCATTATGTGTTCCACTTTCAGTATAAATAAGGTTAGATAACTTTTTAGCTTTAATTGCATCTTGAATCCAGGTAAGCAATTCTCTTGCATATTCTGGATTCTTTTCCATAGAAAGAAATGATTAAGGATCAGGATTCTTCTTCTTTTCTCTTTTGTTCTTTAAATAACCAGTGCAATACTAAGAATAGCCTTCTTTATACCATTCTGGAATATTCAAAGAATCCAGTTTATAATGATTGATCTAAAGCGATCTTGCTTTCACAGGTCTCATACTCAATATCACTATCACATCTGCAAGATCCTCTTTAGTAGGAATTTTGAAAGTATCAATATTTTGAAGCCTTTTAGTTACTCTTGCTAAGGAGAAGTGTATTGTAATTCTATTCGGATTAGCTATTTATTCCTTAGTTTGTTTCTTCTGAATTTTATTAGAGTCTTAAATAAGTTTCTTATCTTTGACAAATGCTTCAATAATTGTAGGATCTACATCGCCTTCTGCTAACTTCACACAGAATGTTAACTTATGCAAGACACTGGCAACGATTTTATTTAATAGCTTTTTTGAAAAAAACAATAAAGGAGTGCTGTTGCTGAGCAGTTCGTAAAGTTCGTTTTATTTTATTTTTATTTTTTAGACCTAAGTCTAGATGATGGGTGAAAATATTCATAGCATCACTCACTGGCTATAGTACAGTATTCTGCCTTTCCCTCTATAATGAGGTTTTTCTTTATTTTATCTATCATAAAAGTTTCTATCTTCTCTTTACTAAATGAACACCTATTATTAGTACTGTTGGTAAGGGCAACTTTAACATACCTGCAGATCATCCAATCAGAAAATAAAGCATCAAGTTATGGAATATGTTTACTTAATTATTCTGGAGTAAAGTCAGCCATAAATTATGCTTTTTTAGAAACTGCTCTAAGATCAATACAAAGTTATTAGATTTAGATTTTTAGGTCTTTGGGTTAGTCGTTTTGGTAGCCATGTCAATACTAACTGTTATCTAATTATATTATATGATAAAAAAGTTCAATTCGAAAAATTTCTCCAATTATAGATTTCAGAATACCATATAGCAGAGGATTGAAGGAAGGAAAAAAATAATAATATAACACACGCGAACTAGCTTTGGCCAGCATTGAACGTGAAAGATATGCAACACATTTTTGAATATTTATAATAAAAGTGAAGACAAAGTTTTAAGAATATTAATATCAAAATTACCTTGTATAGGTCATTTTATCTGCCAATACATAAAGAGAGATGGTTCAATTTGTGGGAAAAGATGCATGAATGAATTAGAATGTGCCAGATATTTTAATGCCTTCTTAGAATAATATATCCTGTCTGTAAGATAAAAACCTATTCTGATACTAGAATCTGTAACACACATAGCGGAATTTATGATCGTGCTTGGCACAAAAGTAAAAAAACTAAAATAGAATCTAATGTGATCAAAACACTTAGCTGAGCAATAAAGCTGAATAATAAATGACTTAGACTAAGTATTAATTTTCCTGTCCTATAGAATCAAAGAGTTCCTGAATATAGTTATCTGTTTTTAACCTATATGATGAAAGTTCTGATGCACTTTTATCTCCAAAACCAAGACCTTTATATGGTCAGTGATTAATTCAGTATGAATATTCCCAAACTTGCTTTTCTTTAGATCCTATTTTTTTTCGATTGCTTTTAACTGTATAGCCACACCAATTACCAGTAATTGCATTAATTATTTTTATGGCCAATATAAGATCAGGCTTTTCTTTTGCACAGGACTTAAAACTAAAGAGTAATAAAGACTGACTTCAAATTTCTATAAATCTTTCACATAATTGAGCGAATGCTTCTAAAATAATATTACCCGAAAGAGTATGTATATCATCAATGCTAGTAAAACCTAGTATTTAAAAAGTTCCCTTATATCTTCACAGTGATTTGCTGAATAAGATTTATGCAAGTCCTCTGTCACTGATTTTTCAGATTCTCTTCGGCTTTATAGTAGGCAATTTCCCATTGTGTAGTATTCTTAGCTTTTAACCCTTCCATTACACTCTCTTCATCATAACCATACCTCTGAAATTGAGATAAACGTAAGAAATGTTTTTGAGGTTCAGGCTGGCTAAAACATTCCATGAATTTTTTATTGCAGAAATTATTCTAATCATTAATATTTATGTCTTTATCACCATAAAGATTTCGCATATAAAAACATTTAAATGCCATAGTATCTGCTATAGAACATTCCTAGTCAAACTTAAGAATTTCAGCTTCTTCAGGATCAAGATTTCAGGAAGTAGCAACTGTATTAAAATCTGTTTCTTTAATAACTAATGCTTCAACTCTAATCTCATTACAAATTCTTTTACAGTAACTATAACTCCTTGGCTCTCATCTATTTTTATTTAGTTGGAGAAAAACGCCAGTACTAGCTATAAGACTACAAAGCTTTTTAATAAAATATCTTGCAGAAAGGCATTTCTGATGCTCAACTTCAATAAATGTTATTACAGCTGAGGATTTATTAATTTTATAAGAAATAGCATTGTTATTCCATTCACAGTAACCCTTTATTGCTATAGGAAAATTATTAGGTTAAGCACTTTTAAGTTCTGCTCGAATATTTTCATAGCCTGGTAGACAAAAAGTTTATTAGAATTTTTCTGATAAAACATAGAAACAATATGACACAGACAGTCAAGAATTTGATAAAGCATTTGTACAAGAGCCTTAACATGAACTGGAGTGGCAATATTTGTAATAGCTATAATTATATCAAAATGACCATAATCTCAAATGATATTCCCACCTTCACTGTATTTGTATAGGCTATATAGTCAAGTTTACTCCAAGTAACATCAATATTAGAGAATCTTTTTGTCTCTATTTCCCATTTATATTTCCATAATATGCACAAGCTTTAACAGGAGAATTGTTAGATTTAGACAACTTAAATGCCTTTTCTACTAACGCTCTAGCTATCACTGCTCCAGTAGATATGAATGCTATATATTTGCTCTGCCTCAAAAGATCATATCCTATTCACATAGCTTCAGCTCTGCTATTTGAATCATAAATCAATTCAACTGTCTTACCTATATGAGGTTAATACTTATTATCAACTGTGAGAATATTTTCACCACAATAAGTCGAAGGAAGATTAGTGTTGATGTATTTGCAAAAACATCTATGACCAAAACATATTTCACAGATCTTAATACATTACGTATTGCATTCTCAGATTTTGGTGTTAAACATTTGACGCATAATAGCATTAGCTTCATAAAGAATAGCTACAAATGGATGGGCTGTGAACTCAATACAGAAAAAACTCTCAACCTATACTATGATAATATCCCACTCATTTATAAATAAGTCTCCTTGTATATTTTGATAATTGCAAATTTTAAAACCAGATGTTTTTAGCTCATCAAGTTTCATTTTTGATTCATTACTAAAAGACTTTTAGTAAGAAACGCAGATATAACATGGCAAAAAAAGAGAGATCATGTACCTTATTTTTCAATACCATAATAATCTCTCTTAATGTAGTAGTTTTCTATATTTCCGAAGGAAAACAAATAAGTGTTATTATTTTATCAATACCCAAGAAATCAGAATATACTTCCAGAGCATCCTTTAATTTTTCTATATTAATCATCATTTCTGATAATCCTACAAGAAGGCGTGGATTTGATATAGCATCACTTATTCTTTTGACTAATCCTCTCTTAAGTTTTGCAGAAATTTCGATCACTTTTCCAAATGCTAATCCCTTATGATCTGGTTTATAATTTTTCTGCCGATAACATTTGAGTATAAAACATCTGTTGTTCTGAAGAAAACCATATAACTGGTCCTTTTCATGTTTGATTTTACAAATAGGACATGCTTGATATAATTAGACTTGAAAGTGAACAAATCCATTTCCAATTTTTCTGATCTTAAGCCATTCATATTTTGCAATAACTAAGCTGGTTTTCTTACTTAAGGCAGTTTCATCTTCGATGAGCTGAAATTTCTCTTCTTTCTTAGAAAAAAAAGTTCAGAACCAGATTTCAGAAGTATTTCACTTAGGTTGAACTAAATAATCTTTTAGCTTATGATATCCTTTCTTAACTGAAAAACTTGCAGGTCTTTTAACTCTATCTTCTTTTACTGATCCAAGAAACCAGAAACTAAAGCGAGATTTATAAAGATCTGTATCAATAAACTTTGAGTATAACTTTCTAACCCTTTCAGCGACTTTTTTCACAAAATCCTTAAGATCTTTATAGTCAATAAAATGGGCATAAGGATACATGATATGCCAGTTACATTTATCAGAATTAGACGAACTGGTTAAGACAAAAGCATCTAATATTGCAAAATGTTTTAAATCAAAATATAAAATATCAATACAGGCAATTAAGATTTTAAATAATAAATCTTCACAAGAAATTTTATTTCCATCTAAGAAAGGAAGTTCAGGATTCATAGGATCAGGCTTTTGTCTCACATCAATATCTTGAACAAGACAAAGAAGCAAATTCCTATTAATATACTCATGGATAGGGTTCCTCAAAATCAAATCAAATCAAATATTTAAGCAATTTGAATTTGATTTGATTTTTTCAAATTGAATTGA